GAGGGAGACTGTAAGGGGGAGCCATTCTGCAGACTGGTATCGGCTTTGTTGAAAACTTTAATAAAGTCATTTCTTGATGCAACAAAAACTCTGTAAGACCTTATTTGTAATAAAGTATAGTGGTTATTTTCCACAACAGTGTGTCCAAACTTTTGACGGGTGCTGTATATATATCAAATCAAATCAAATCAAATTTTATTGGTCACATGCGCCGAATACAACAGGTGCAGACATTACAGTGAAATGCTTACTTACAGCCCTTAACCAACAGTGCATTTATTTTAAACAAAAAAGTAAGAATAAAACAACAACAAAAAAAGTGTTGAGAAAAAAAGAGCAGAAGTAAAATAAAGTGACAGTAGGGAGGCTATATATACAGTAAAATAAAGTGACAGTAGGGAGGCTATATATACAGGGGGGTACCGTTGCAGAGTCAATGTGCGGGGGCACCGGCTAGTTGAGGTAGTTGAGGTAATATGTACATGTGGGTAGAGTTAAAGTGACTATGCATAAATACTTACTTAACAGAGTAGCAGCAGCGTAAAAAGGATGGGGTGGGGGGGCAGTGCAAATAGTCCGGGTAGCCATGATTAGCTGTTCAGGAGTCTTATGGCTTGGGGGTAGAAGCTGTTGAGAAGTCTTTTGGACCTAGACTTGGCACTCCGGTACCGCTTGCCGTGCGGTAGCAGAGAGAACAGTCTATGACTAGGGTGGCTGGAGTCTTTGACAATTTTGAGGGCCTTCCTCTGACACCGCCTGGTATAGAGGTCCTGGATGGCAGGGAGCTTTGCCCCAGTGATGTACTGGGCCGTACGCACTACCCTCTGTAGTGCCTTGCGGTCAGAGGCCAAGCAGTTGCCATACCAGGCGGTGATGCAACCAGTCAGGATGCTCTCGATGGTGCAGCTGTAGAATTTTTTGAGGATCTGAGGACCCATGCCAAATCTTTTTAGTCTCCTGAGGGGGAATAGGCTTTGTCGTGCCCTCTTCACGACTGTCTTGGTGTGTTTGGATATATATATATATATATATATATATATATATATATATATATATATATATATATATATAATTTTTTTATTTTTATCCTGTGCGCTAGATTAGGGTTGGAGGAAAACCATACAGGATGGTAGCTCTAAAGGAACAGGGTTGGTGAGCCCTGGTCTTTTCTCTCTGAGCTACTTGACCCAGAGACTGAGAGCTCATTGTTTGACATTAACATGAGTGCTCTTTTTAATGTTTTCATCTCTGGGAGAAAACCCTTCATTCGATATACATTGCCTTTTCATGAGATTTAGATGCATATTCTGTGTGCATAACATGTGGCTAATGCTCATCAGCATGGTGCTCAGCTGTAAATGGGATACATGGGAGGTTGTGATGTTAAAACAGCCATATTATTTGTTTAACTACAACTATACACATTTAGTTTTACCCGACAAGACTCCTTCATCGTGTTCCCACCATTATACCTGATGAAGCCATAATAGCAACTCCTGTCAAAATGGAGGAAGATTTGGATCATTCTTGTCTTATTTTAGGGGGATGATTTGACTAACCCACAGCCTTCTACATATTTAGAACATACTGCATGTATTTGTACTCTGCTTATTGCAAGCTTGGATCTATAATTTTTTTTAACATCATGTTTTACAATGTAAAGAAAACAGAATAATATCCACCTATCTATTTTTCTTGTCTGATTATGTTTTCCTGTTCCTATTTTGTGAATGAAGTCCATGCCTCTATAAACTATTATGGTTTAGAAATATTAATACATGTTTTGTTTTAAACCTCCAGGCTTCATTCTCGTCCGTTCTACGTCTTATATTTGGGTGAGTCAAAATTTAGCATGGCACTGCAGGTAATTAGCATACTATAAGTAGAAAAGGGCACACCAGCTTTCCAGGAACTGGGTTGCTGACAACTGTTCTAGAGTTTGAGAGAGAAAGGGATAGACAGGAGTCAGTCTTGGTATTGCAACATTGGTCAGTCACTCTCACCCACACCGTCTTTGATCCAACCTTGAATCATTCTAATTTCATTATAATCAGGGATGCACAATGTCTTCTGGTGGGACACATCCCAGGTGAGTCAGAGCTGATGAACGTCATCATCATCATCATCATCCTCTCTCCAAACCTGTAACATTACTGGCTGCTACTGTGTTACTTACCTGATGACGTTAACACCACCATGGTTATGCCAGCTCAGGTAGACATACAGTGAAATAGCATATGGAACTGTCTGAGGGGAGGAAGTGATGTAGAATGACTGGTTTGGTAAAATACTCTCGTTGCTGACACTGGCATGTCGTTCACACTGCCACAGTTTCCTGTCCAGTAACGAGTGATATTGGCACGTGTAAAGACATGAGTATTGTGTGGTTGGTGTGTGTGTGTGGGTGTACTCTCGGGTGAATAGCATCTATTGATCTGACACACAGAGTTTAGGAAGAGAGCAAACACCATTCAGTTCAATACCAGACCCACTGGAAACCCCACAAGGACACTGTAAAGCCCTATACTGTTGCATCACACATAACTCCTGAGTGGCGCAGTGGTCTAAGGCACTGCATCTCAGTGCTAGAGGCATGACTGTAAGTCGCTTTGGATAAAAGCGTCTGCTAAATGGCATATTATTATTATTATTATCACTACAGGTCCTGGTTCGATTCCAGGCTGTATCACAATAGGGTCCCATAGGGCGGCGCCCAGTGTCGTCCAGGTTTGGTCGGGGTAGGCCGTCATTGTAAAGAAGAATTTGTTCTTAACTGACTTGTCCAGTTAAATAAAGGTAAAATAAAAAACTCACACACCCAAGTTGACTCATCGCAGAAGAAGGACAGGAGACAAGGAGGCCACTCCAGACTATTGAGATACATTCTGAGTCCCCCCTCCCCCATTACCTCTTGGCTCAGTGTTGCCCTGCCGCCTCTGGCCAAGTGGGTCTGGGCCAGGTAAGGTGTGCCACGAGTGTGTGTGATCACCAGTCTTGTACACACCTGTCTGGACTCAAGTGTGTCAGTCAGGTAAACACACACACCCTGAGATGGACTAGGGTACGTGTGTGCATCCTTGCGTGTCAATATTTAAATGTGTGTTGCACATGCAACTCAGAGATCCTAGATTTAGGAAAGAGAGAGAGGGGGGAGAGCGAGAAAGAGAGGGGGGTAGAAAGACAGCGAGAGGTTTTAGTTTCATCCCTATGTGACTAAAGGTATCTTGGGGTATCTTGGGGAAACAGCAGGTTAGGGTTATATTTAAGGTAAAGGTATCTGGGGGAAACAGCAGGAGATAGAGGGTCATATTTAAGGTAAAGGTATCTGGGGGAAACAGCAAGAGATAGAGGGTCATATGAGGGTGAGTGCATCATTTTTTTTCATACTGGTCCCCCCTGGGAATCAAACCCACAACCCTTGCTCTACCAACTGAGCTACACGGGACTACAATCATGTTTGTTCTTCACTGGTTGGCAACAGGTCTCTCTCTCTCTCTCTCTCTCTCTCTGTCTCTCTCTCTCTCTCTCTTGCTCTCGCTCTCTCTCTCTCTCTTGCTCTCGCTCTTTCTCTCTGTGACTCTCTCTCTCTCTCTCTCTCTCTCTCTCTCTCTCTCTCTCTCTCTCTGTGTCACGTGTTAGCAGTACTGAATGTTGTCTTTGAGGAGAAGAAACAGAGCCGATGGCCATTGTTCTAGAATGGAGGAGGCTACAGAGTCGTGTTCAATCATGAGTTTATATCATTGCGAAACACCCTAAACTAGTCAGGCACAGTGATTATAAAAGTAAATGGTAGATTTATTAAACAAATATTTGGATATGAAACAGACAGTATGGGACGACTTACATAGGCCTAACTGTCTGATGGATTGTTCCCTGGTCCATACAGAATATCATTTAATAGAGTGAATGCAACTTTATTGGTCACCCAGGGATGTACACTGCCTGTATATTAAACATCATAGCCCTGTAGATGAAATTCTGCTTTTCTAAGGAAGTGGGGACAAAGAGTAATAAATACCTCACATGATGACACCACTGTGCCCGTTTCCATAGCAGCCAGGGGCATGTGATTGGGAACGCTAGCGATAAAGTCGGGATCAAGCTCCTCCTCAGGAATGCCCCCCCCCCCCCCCCCCCCCCCCTCTCACAAACACACATCCTAGTCATTCCATGTCTTTTAAATAAATATAGCTTTTTTCCATCAAACGTGTACTTTGTCCTGATGGAAATAGAAAATTATAGAAATATCTGTGAGCCTACTCGTGTGCACGCAGCGCGTTCACAGAGTCCACTCTGCACATAGAGATAGATAAAGGACTCGTCTTTATATCTGTGCCATTATAGCCTGTGTGACAGCATGGGCAGCACCATTGATGCTACAACCCATAGGAATCAAATCATATTGTATTTGTCACATGCTCCGAATACAATACAGTTGACTACTTTGACTAGGCTACTTTAAAATGGCGGAAGCATGGTGGAAGTCCTCAATGGCGCTGCCTATGCTAAAACGGCCTTTTGGCCTCTATCATTTTCTATGGCTCTTCACTGCAGAGACAGCTAAAGAGAGAGGGGCGTGGGTAGGGTAGTTGCGAACTAGGAGGCAAACGTTTGAGTAATTCTCCGCGCTGGGCATGATTGCACAATTGGCACTGTAGAGGGGTCCCTAGGGCTACAACGTGTAGAGACAACCCCGTGAGTTCCCAGAAAGCGACTGTGTGGTGCAGCCGGGGCAGAAGGCAGGTCCAACTATTTCAGCAAGTGTTTAGAAACCGGTGATTCCTCTCTGATTTTGCCCGCAGTTGCAGATTACAGAGGGGAGCCGTAGCCGATGTCCCTAGCAGCAGCACTCCACGCATAATTGATTTATTCATTTTCTATCGCAACTGACTGCTGCCAACTGAATGCGTCTGAGTGGTAGAGGGATAGATAGCTCTTTGTTTTCGTCCCCGGCGCCCTCTCTCTACTTGCTCCAGAACTTCTAACCAAGCTGATTGAGGATGGACGGGAACCGAACCCTCGACCCGAGCTGCAGTGAAAAACCTCCGGTGGCCATCGACATCATTCTCCGTGAGTTGAGCGGTTTGTCTAGGCCAGTAGCTACGCTTTCCATAACTAGCCAACCATAACTTTTTAGGTGCCTAGTGCCAAGTGCCGTTAGTTTCTCCAGTTCTGCTGGCAGCTACTTTTTTTCTGACGGATTGATTGCGCCTGTACTGTAAACATTGAAACTGCTTTGCCAATTTGCCACCATGCCCCTGGGCTATTAAACACACATTCAGGTTGGTTACATTTTAGGCTACATTAGCTAGGTTTCCATCCAATTGGTGACAGAGTTCCATGCGAATATTCTAAAATCTGCAGGAAAACAAAGTTATCATCTAATTGAGATGTTTCCAAATATTCTAAAATCTGCAGGAAAACAAAATTATCATCTAATTGAGATGTTTCCATCAAATTGACTTGTTACGGATGGGATATTAGGGGGTGACTAGCCACCCCTAAGAACAATGTGTAATTGGTGACACAAAAAAGCAATGTATGGAGAAAAAAAATTGGTATGTAAAGTTTTTTTTTTTTAAGCACCAGGTTTCTTTGTTCTGTCTTTGTTGTTCCTTTTCTATAGAATCCATTATGTACAATTACACTAAGTCTTTAAAATGACATTCAGGAGCAAAAGGTTTTCAATAGTTGTTTTTAATTCATTAATAAAATATTCATTGGAACATAATATTGGAATGGAATATAACTAACAACATTACATAACATTGGAATTGAACATTTTAATAACAATAACTTAACTAATTAATTCAGTGTAACATTGATGTGGCAACTCTCTTATGCTCTGCTATTGCACGACGTGTTTCTAGGGTATCAAGTGATTACGAATGTAAGGATGTACTTAGACACTTTTGATGGGGAGTTCATATAATATATTTTAATATGGTACCATGGTTAGTTATAACAGACATAGCCCTGCCTCTTCCAACTTCCTAACAAAGATCCCCTCTCTCTATATATACACTCTGTTACATTTACATTTTAGTCATTTAGCAGACGCTCTTATCCAGAGCGACTTACAGGAGCAATTAGGGTTAAGTGCCTTGCTCAAGGGCACATTGACAGATTTTTCACCTAGTCGGCTCGGGGATTAGAACCAGCGACCTTTCGGTTACTGGCACTACGCTCTTAACCACTAAGCTACCTGCCGCCACGAACATCTGGTAATCATCATGGGCACTCCCATTCTTTGATGTTATTACCCTTTGCCCCAAGTCAGTATATCCTGTCCATCAAATATTCTAAGATCAACCTCAGTAATCTCCTTTGACATAACGGAATGTAGACCCTGTGGCACCAAACCACTTATCTGCTAACTCTAACCTGGTCCACACGATACTATGACATGACATCATTACAATAGGTCACAAATAAAGCTATCCCCAGTAAAAGTGGAACACAACTCATGAGTCCACCTCCTGCACTGCTCACACCTAACCCAGTCCCCACCTGTGATTGAAAACAGAGGGAGCGATGGCAATTGAAAAGCTCTCTTAAAAAACGTAGCTAGCTATATGATATAAAATGCTGTGTAAAATAGCTAAAAGGCCATAAAGTAAAATTAACTGTAAATCTATCGGTCACTAGTGGAAACATTTACAACTGCAATTAAGTTACGTTATATTTTTTAAATGTATTTTACATCAAGACAATCTGGTAGTAAGGTTGCTAGCTAGCACTCCTAGCAGCTTATGCTAACTAGCTAGCTGGCTAGCATTTACTGCTAGTGAAGTAGCTAGCTAGCAAGTTAGCATAAACTAGCACTAACTGGGCTAGTCATTGTCTAAATGACTGGTAGAAACATATTCATAACCATAAAGGGGTAACTAGCCACCAGGGCCAGTTACCCCCTAGTAAGGGGGGGTGAGTTGCACCCAACACACTCATCCAACATATTACTGCTTTACTCAAAAATTATCTAAATGTCTCTTTAAACAAGTGGATTATTTATCTTAAGGCTTTCCTACTTGTAAATATAAAAAAAAATATATAGATCTGACTTCAGTGGAATACATCTAAAACTTTTTCAAAAATATCAACATTTTTGATGAACTTACCACAAAATCGTTTTGTTGAAATATCTCCAAAAGTTGTGATGATACAGAGGAAATGTATAGTTGAGCAAGAGCAGTGGCAGCCAGGTTAAGTGTTAACATGTCATACTAATTTTAGTGTCCCGGATTTACATTTACTATGTCTAGTCTATGAGACCAGGCTGGGAAACCTGGTTATAGTTACAGATTTAGCTGCATAATACATTCAGTCCCTATTGAGACTGTTGGAGTCTGGAGAGATTACATTTTTAAGAAATAATAATCCCTTTTATCCAATAGTAATTTAGAAACTCGCAGTCAGCAACTTGCTTATGTTTCCTCCACTATAGTGTAAATGGGAACAGTATTTTTAATCTGTTTTATTATACACAGCCTAGATGGAAAGTCACTTTCACCTGTGCCTGTTGCTTTCACCCTTCTGTTGTGATATAAGTGTATCATACAGGCATGGTCTTTACAGTGTGGAAGGTTATATGCATACTAGGCATACACACTGGTTTCAGTCAACTGCAATCCATCTTTCACAGAGAAAGAGAATAATACAACTAGCTAGCTCTCTGTAATGGGAAATGAACAGTGCACTCACACAATAACAGTATTTGTTGCTGTTTAGAGGCTTGATGATGGTCTGAGAATGGTTGAACCCCAAAACAATGTTTTTTAGGGGTTCCATCACATCATGTTACCCGTGGCTGGCCACACACTGGTATCTAGCCTATAGTGTCCATCCTGGTCTGAAGGCCTACTTACAATCCTAAAGGATTGTCACGCAAAGTAGTTTCCCTCCACAGCAAGCCACGGTTACAGTAGGAACAGTACAAATAGGATGCGAGGGATACTCTTCGGGGCATTGACTGTTTGGACAAGATAACTGTAGGTCTGACCAATAGCAGGCAGGCATAGCATGCGTGTTCTGTAGATCCGCCCATCTTTAATGTTTGACCACATGGTCAACAGTCCTACATCATACCCCTGCTCTGCATCACTCTGGAATAACCTGAGTTCTGAATCTGGTTTTGATGTTGATATTGTGTGTGAGTTGGAAAGGAGGGTGCATTTTTCCTCCCTAATGTTTAAGTTACAGTAAGCTAAGCTGGGGTAAGCAGACGCTAGATCTGAAGAAGCAACAATTTAATGACACCTCATTAAAAACACATCTGTAACTCGCTGGAGTGAACTGAAACAATAGGCCCTACAATCCTCTCACCCTCCCTCTCCTCTCTCTTCTCTAATCACGTCCTTATGGGCTTGTCTCTGCCTCTTTCACAAACCAAGATGCTCTCCCAGAAATCAGGGAGCAAGGACTCCCTTTTCCCACTTCCCTAAGGAATTAACATGATCCACACACACCCACACAGTTGTGAAAAGGGCACGACAGCGCCTCTTCCCCCTCAGGAGGATGAAAAGATTTGGCATGGGCCCTCAGATCCTCAAAAAGTTCCACAACTGCACCATTGAGAGCATCTTGACTGGCTGCACCACCACTTGGTACAGCAACTGCTTGGCATCTGACTGCAAGGCGCTTCAGAGAGAAGTGCGTACAGCCCAGTACATCACTAGATCGGAACTCCCTGCCATCCAGGACCTCTATATCAGGCGGTGTCAGAGGAAGGCCCAAACCTAAATAGCTAATCAAATGGCTACCCGGACTACCTGCATTGACACGACAATGGGCCACAGGATCTCGTCACGGTATCTCGGTCCATTCAAATTGCCATTGATAAAATGCAATTGTGTTCGTTGTCTGTACCTTATGCCTGCCTGCCCATACCATAACCCCACCGCCACCACTCTGTTCACAACATTGACATCAGCAAACTGCTCGCCCACACGACGCCATACACGCTGTCTGCCATCTGCCCAGTACAGCTGAAACCGGGATTCATCCGTGAAGAGCACACTCTAAGTTCTCTAAGTGTGCCAGTGGCCATTCAAGGTGAGCATTTGCCCACTGAAGTCGTTTACGACGCCCAACTGCAGTCAGGTCAAGACCCTGGTGAGGACGACGAGCACGCAGATGAGCTTCCCTGAGAGTTTGACAGTTTGTGCAGAAATTCTTCGGTTGTGCAAACATCAAGTAACTCATGCCTGCAGTAAAAGTAGATTAAAAAAAACAGATAAAAATACACTTTATGGAACAGTGGGGACTGTGAAGCAACACAAACATGGACACATGCATACCAACATACGCACTATACACACATGTACACATGGATTTTGTGTTATAGATATGTGGTAGTGGAGTAGGGGCTTGAGGGCACACACTTAATATGTTATGTATGTATTGTAATGTTTTTAAAATGTATAACTGCCTTATTTTTATTTATTTAACTAGGCAAGTCAGTTAAGAACAAATACTTATTTACAATGACGGCCTACACCGGCCAAACCCGGACGACGCTGGGCCAATTGTGCACCACCCTATGGGACTCCCAATCACGGCCGGTTGTGATACAGCCTGGAATCCAACCAGGGGGTCTGTAGTGACGCCTCAAGCACTGAGATGCAGCCTTAGACCGCTGTGCCACTCGGAAGCCCTTAATGTTGCTGGACCCCAGGAAGAGTACCTGCAGCCTTGGCTAATGGGGAACCATAATAAATACAAATACAAATATAAACTCAGCAAAGAAAGAAACGTCCTCTCACTGTCACCTGCGTTCCACAGACATGTGACTAACAGAAATTGAATAATGTGTCCCTGAACAAAGGGGGGGAGGGGGGGTCAAAATCAAAAGTAACAGTCAGTATCTGGTGTGGCCACCAGCTGCATTAAGTACTGCAGTGCATCGCCTCCTCATGGACTGCACCAGATTTGCCAGTTCTTGCTGTGAGATGTTACTCCACTCTTCCACCAAGGCACCTGCAAGTTCCCAGACATTTCTGGGGGGAATGGCCCTAGCCCTCACCCTCCGATCCAACAGGTCCCAGATGTGCTCAATGGGATTGAGATACGGGCTCTTCACTGACCATGGCAGAACACTGACATTCCTGTCTTGCAGGAAATCACGCACAGAACAAGCAGTATGGCTGGTCGCATTGTCATGCTGGAGGGTCATGTCAGGATGAGCCTGCAGGAAGGGTACCACATGAGGGAGGAGGATGTCTTCCCTGTAACGCACAGCGTTGAGATTGCCTGCAATGACAACAAGCTCAGTCCGATGATGCTGTGACACACCGCCCCAGACCATGATGGACCCTCCACCTCCAAATCGATCCCGCGCCAGAGTACAGGTTTTGGTGTAACGCTCATTCCTTCAATGATAAACGCGAATCCGACCATCACCCCTGGTGAGACAAAACCGCAACTCGTCAGTGAAGAGCACTTTTTGCCAGTCCTGTCTGGTCCAGCGACGGTGGGTTTGTGCCCATAGGCGACATTATTGCCGGTGATGTCTGGTGAGGACCTGCCTTACAACATGCCTACATACCCTCAGTCCAGCCTCTCTCAACCTATTGCGGACAATCTGAGCATTGATGGAGGGATTGTGCGTTCCTGGTGTAACTCGGGCAGTTGTTGTTGCCATCCTGTACCTGTCCCACAGGTGTGATGTTCGGATGTACCGATCCTGTGCAGGTGTTGTTACATGTGGTCTGCCACTGCGAGGACGATCAGCTGTCCGTCCTGTCTCCCTGTAGCGCTGTCTTAGGCGTCTCACAGTACGGACATTGCAATTTATTTCCCTGGCCACATCTACAGTCCTCATGCCTCCTTGCAGCATGCCTAAGGCACGTTCACGCAGATGAGCAGGGACCCTGGGCATCTTTCTTTTGGTGTTTTTCAGAGTCAGTAGAAAGGCCTCTTTAGTGTTCTAAGTTTTCATAACTGTGACCTTAATTGCCTACCGTCTGTAAGCTGTTAGTGTCTTAACGACCGTTCCACAGGTGCATGTTCATTAATTGTTTATGGTTCATTGAACAAGCATGGAAAACAGTGTTTAAACCCTTTACAATTAAGATCTGTGAAGTTATTTGGATTTTTACGAATTATATTTTTTTGCTGAGTTTAAAAGTGTATTTGTGTATGTGTCAGCTTATTCTTCGTTAATTGTGTGTGCGTGCGTGCGTTTTTATGTGTGAGTGTCACGTCTCCTCCCGTTGCTCCCCTCCGGCGCTCTGATTCGCCAGTCTACTGAGCCACCGGTCGGAGCGCACCACCTCGGCAACACCGGAATGGAAACCCAACGCACCCTAATCACCTCCAGCGCACCTGCACCTCATCATCTCATGACCACCCCTATATAGCCCTGGACTGTTCAGTGTTGTGTGTGATTGTTAGTGTTTTGTCGTGTACTCGCTCTTTGTTGTTCTCTTGCTCAGTGTTAAGTAAACCTTCGTATCCTCAGTACTCGTCACAGTGAGTTAGTTACTCTGTGTTTGACAGAGGGATTGGTGCTGTTTTTGATTTCCTGTTCACTACTTTTTGTTGTCTTGTTTTCCCATAAACACCCACGCTTTCCAGAAAATAAACAGTCATCTTTTCATTACATGTTTTTCAGAACTGGGAGGTCAGAAATGAGTTCCAGAGAACAAAGGGGGTTCTTATTGTCCCTCCTGGCCCTTTAGTTTTACTTATTGCTTTCATCAATCTGTTTTCTTTTATCACATCATTGCAGGTGAAGGGAGGGGACACCAGGAGAGGAAGCACTTTAGACTTTTGAAACTTACCCTATAGTCTTATAGATTTGAACTGTCTCTGTCTCTCTCTCTCTCTCTTATCTGTCTCGCTCCCCCCCCCCCTCTCTCTCGCTCTCTCTGTCCTTAGAGTTGGACATCTTTGGTATCATCCTGTACTCAGTTCTGACCTTCATGGCAACGGTTTCCATGCTGGTCTACATAGAGGAGTGTTGGTACATCTACCGGAAGGTTCCCTCCCACAAGAAGAGTGCCATCATCTGGGTCAATGGGGCAGCGCCGGTAAGAACACACTGAAGGCAGCCTTCGATCTGGTACTTACTAGTACTACTGCTGTATCCCCCTACAGTAGAAATGCATGCGGCCAAGGAACAAAATAAAAACTTGAGTTATGACCAATCCGGTCAGTTTACTAGGAAATGCTAGGGCAGTAGCATGGTTAGGAAGACTGCATTGTTAAAGGATCCAAACTAAGGCTGTATGTCTCTGCTGAATGTCTGTGTGTGTCAGGTGATCGGCACCATGTCCTGTCTGGGGATGTGGATTCCCCGAGCCACCATGTTTACTGACATGACCTCCGCCTGGTACGTCACTCATCCATCCCTCCCTCCTTTTCTATTTCCTTTCTCTCTCATGTCTTTCATTTTCTCTACATATTGTCTGTCTCTCCCATCCCTATCCTCTTTCCTCTCCTCTACCTTCAATCTCTCCGTGTGGATCTGGGTTCCTCTTCATCTCAGACCCCTTCTGTGACAGGCGGGAAACCCTGTAGAGAGCAGGAAGACGTACACTGTGTCAGCAAAACATACAGAGCTACTAAAGACACTATTACAATAGTCTGTGTAGATCTTTCCAAACTCATCTCTCCCTCTGTCTATCTTCCATCCTTCACTCCTTGGTGTTCTTGGCGCGTGTAACACGTTTGTCTCCGCAGCTACTTTGCGATCGTAGTGTTTAAGTTCCTGGTGCTAATGATCGAGGAAGTGGGGGGTGACGAGGCGTTTCTACGGCGAGCAGGGAAGAACAAACTAAAGATCAGTACTGGTCCCTGCTGCTGCTGCTGCCCCTGTCTACCCCATGTTAACATCACACGGTAACACACACACACACACACACACACACACACTGTTCAGGATCAAATGTATTTCATAACAAGACCCATTTCTCGGTTGCGTCAGAGTCCAGCTACTAGTTTAGTAGTAAAACAATATCTGTATTGATTCAGGGCCTGGCAGGTAGAATCTACTCCTGGCCACTCCCCCTCTCTCTGAATGGGCCCCTCCCCCTCTCTCTGTATGGGCCCCTACACGTCTCACATCAGAAAACATTATCACCCCAAATATGCCCCCTCCTGGTCATTGCACCCTATAGGACTGAGTAAAGAGTCACGACGTACTACAAAATCGTACAAATATGTAAAAATGGGATTATTACAATCAAGTATAATTCTGTGTTAAAAATATGTTGATAGAATGTTTTTTCCTCCGGTTTTCCCTTAGACGGAGTCTGTTCCTGCTGAAGTTGGGATCGTTCCAGTTCGCCCTGCTGAAGCTCGTCTTCACAGTTCTGTCAATCATCCTCTGGACCAATGGCAACTTCAACATTACAGATGTGAGTGTGGGGCGTCAACACACGCATACCTACGATCACACACACACAGAACCATACTCTGCACAAACACACACACACACCCATATGAAAACTCGCGCGCGCATACACACAGACACACTCCCGCACATACACACACAGACGTAACAGTGTTGCCTCCGTCTTTCTGCGCTCCTCAACCAGACACTAGCTAGCCATTTCACATCAGCTACATTGAGTATGCATACACATTCTCAATACGCGCACACACACACACTCACACACACACACACTCCCAACACTGTGTGAGCGTGTGTTCCAGGTAGCGATAACTGGAGTAGCTATCTGGATTAGCCTGGGTATGGGGGTCCTGACCATCATAGCACTGTGGCCTGTAGCCATCATGTTCATGCATCTCAGGACCACGCTGCGCAGCCTCAAGATCATTCCCAAATACGCCATGTACCAGGTGAGATTACACACACACACACACACACACACACAAGCACACATTATGTAAGTGAGCCAATCAGAGGAAAGATTTACAGCAGGGCTCTCCAACCCTGTTCCTGGAGAGCTACCGTCCTGCAGGTTTTCACTCCAACCCTAATCTAGCACACTTGATTCTAATAATTAACTAGTTGATCAGCTGAATCAGGTTAGTTACAACTGGGGTTGGAATGAAAACCTACAGGAGGGTAGCTCTCCAGGAACAGGGTTGGAGAACTCTGGTATACAGTAAGGCCCTCAACCAATCATAGGTCAGTTAATACCCTGAAACAGCAAATTATAACTTGTGTTTACCTGTTTACTCCTGCTGAGCACAGTGTTTTTGTGTTTTACCCATGATGCTGTGTGTCTGTATAGTTGGTGCTGGTGCTGAGTCAGCTCCAGTCAGCCACCATCAACATCCTGGCTTTGAAGGGAACCATCGCCTGCACCCCGCCATACTCCTCACAGGCCAGGGGATACTGTGAGTCTCTCTCCTCATCTCCATTCATCCCAACATCACTATATCCCTTGTTAAACACACACACACACTATCCTCTCAGGCCAGACGATACCATAAGTGACCTCTCTCTCTCTCTCTCTGTTACGAACCCCGTGGCTTTGAACGTCTAGGGTGATGGACATGAGACCCGTAACATAATTCATGTAAATTATAAGTGTGGCATGGAACAGTGAGAACAAATATGACACAACAACCATGAACTACCGTACTAATTGTTTATTTCTGAACACACGGTAACGGTTTGGGAAAAAGGGCTGAGCAGGACCCAAGAAATGAAACAATAGTGTAAAACACCCCTAAACTGATCTTGCCTGCCTCAAGAACCGCTAGGCTACTGCTACCATACAAAAGTACAGGGGGTGGTCCGCTCAGGTCTAACTAGTGTTTATAGACAGTTCTTTCTACGGGAAATGTATGCCCAAGGGCAGCTTGCTTAACTTCCCCTTTTCCCAGAACCACACAAAGTACCAAACAGAGTAGCCAGCAAATAAATGAGTACTCTAAACACAGGACATCACAGTATCCATTACTCACATACAAAAAAGTAATCTAACAAAATTACCAACCAGAGTAACCAGCAATTTAGTGAGTAAACAAAAACAGGACACCACAGTGTCCATACTCACATACGGAAATATTCTCTCTCTCTCAACAAACACAAGTGACTGGTTTTTATATAATGGGATGTGTGATTGAAAAAACGAGTAACAGGTGGTGCAATGCACAGGAATGTTCACTGATTGGTCCAATCAGCAGACACCTCAACGACCACCAATCAGGAACATACAGGACACCTGTGATTAGGGCAGAAGGAGAGAAAAACACAGGACACAGGATACCTGTATCCGTAACACTCCCACCCTTAAAAGAGCAAACCACAATGGTTTGCGACACACGGACTATCACAACACCCAAATTCACAAATCATCCTGCCGGGATAACAAAAAAAAACCTAGATCATTACACACGAGACAAAGCATCTGCCAACACATTATCCAACCCCTTTTTGTGGCGGATCTCCAAATTATAATTTTGCACGACAAGTGCCCAACGCATAAGGCGTTGGTTCTGGTTGTACATCCGGTGGAGAAAAACTAAGGGGTTATGGTCAGTATACACTATCACTGGTAATGCACTGGAACCAACATAAACTTCAAAGTACTGCAGAGCTAACAACAAAGCTAGAGCTTCTTGTTCAATGGTGGAATAGTTTGTCTGACATTTGTTAAATTTCTGTGAAAAATAACAGACAGGATGGTCCACTCCACTCTGGTCCGGCTGCAGTAGAACAGCACCAGCACCTCTGGCACTTGCATCTACCTCCAGTTTAAACGGTCGTTCAAAATCTGGCGCAGCAAGAACAGGAGTACTACATAAGAGTGCTTTAGCAGTGTTGAAAGCAGTACAACAATCTTCAGACCATACAAATTTTCTCGCCGGACTGAGCAAATCCGTTAATGGAGCAACTACCGCAGAGAAATTTTTACAGAAACTACGGTAGTAGCCAACCATCCCTAAAAACCGGCGTAGCTCTCTTCTGGTGGTAGGTGCGGGAAATGCGTTTATAGCCGAGACCTTGGCATCTAGAGGGCGCACCTGACCATGGCCGACCTGTTTACCAAGATAAGTAACAGTGGCCTTTCCAAACTCGCACTTTGCTAAGTTCAGGGTTAGAGAAGTGGTTGCTAGACGTTCACACACTACCCTTAGAGTGTTAACATGATCAGACCACTCAGTTGAATAAATTACCAGATCATCAAGGTAAGCACTACAATTAGGAACTCCAGCCAATACTGTGTTAACCAGGCGTTGGAAAGTGGCTGGTGCGTTCCGCATCCCAAATGCCATGACAGCATATTGTAGGAAGTGATCTGGGGTCACAAAGGCAGAGATGTCGGAGGCACGTGGGGTTAACGGCACCTGCCAGTAACCTTTTAGAAGATCTAGTTTGGTTACATAAGTAGCAGCACCAACAGTATCAATACAGTCATCCAGTCTGGGTAACGGGAACGAGTCGGGCACTGTGACAGCATTGACCTTCCGATAGTCCGTACATAATCTGGATGTCCCATCAGGTTTAGGAACCAGAATGCACGGAGAACTCCAAGGACTTGAACTTGGCATAGCCAGGTTATTCTCCAGCAAATAACCGACCTCATTCCTCATTATCTTTCTTTTAGAGACGTTGACACGATAAGCATGTTGCTTGATAGGTGCAGCGTTTCCAACATTAATGTCATGTTCTAACACATTTGTACATGTAGGAACATCATTAAAAAGACATGGAAAGCTGTGTAATAGTCTCACAATATCATCTGACTGTCTGTCCGTTAAATGAATCAGGCTTGACGGGAGAGACAGCAGCATCTCTGAATTGGGCAATCTAGCACACTGCTGCTGAGTATTGCGCAACTCCAAACCATCTCCGTCCACATCATTAACATGACCTCCCACTACAGCCGTAGCAGCAATAGAGACAGCCGACTCGGCCAGTTTCTCTGGACTGTCTACCTGAGTGACGGGTCTGGTGTGGTATGTCTTCAACATGTTAACGTGGCACACACGAGATTGGCGTTTTCTATCAGGAGTCTGTATCACGTAGTCAGTTTCACTTAGTTTCTTTTCAATGACATAAGGACCAGAGAAACGTGCTGACAATGACGCTCCTGGCACAGGCAACAATACAAGAACTTGGTCACCTGGCTGCAGTGAACGAGAAACAGCCTGTGTGTCATAGTGTCGTTTCATCCGTTTCTGTGAGGAAGACAGCGCTTCCTTTGCTAGAGCACAGGCACCATGTAGGCGCTCACGAAAGCGACTAACGTAGTCCAACACATTTTCTTTCACACAC